TTTGAAATATTTGTATTTAATCAAACTTTGAGGATTGTTTATTGTGGCCAGGTTCCAATATACTATTTGATAATCTTTTATAAATCAAAACATACAGTAAACAAATTAATTAACAAATCCACTTTAATGTAAAACTATGTTTTGACTATTTATATTTACCAGGTTAGTATATCTCAGTATAAAGGGAACAAACTTTTTGCTAAAAACCAATCAGTTTCAGATCATAAAACTATCAGAATCGATAGAAATACAAATGAGTTCATGTTTGAAAAGTAATTTTGTTGGGTATATCTGGTAAGAATAAAGATTAAGTACAGCTTACTTTTAGTCCCTACATATTGGGTTATGAAAATCGGACTAAAGATCGAACTATAGAGACTGTGCAGGGGTTTCTATACTTTTTTATTGGGGACATGTGAACTATTGATTTTCATGATTTCAATATTCTGGGAGACCGTTGTTCTTATCAATGTTCTAAAACTGCTTTGAAAGATATACACTTGCTCATAAATCTCTAGAAATGTAATTTGCATTGACCGTCGTACCATATTTATTAGTTTCACTTGAAACTCCATACAAGGTTACAAAAGGTGCTACGTATGAATGTGTTGAATGGTAGAATATAAACTTCTTTTTTGACTTTTTGATAGATACCATTCTACAGTTAATCCCTTTTCCGAACCATCCAAACTAACAGAGATTTATACAATTGAAACTCAACTGTCTGCTATTTATAACACCAGAAAAGGAAATGAAATTAATGAGATATATATTTTGTGATTATTGACATCTAAAGATACTGAAAGCCTTAATTTATTGCTTCATTCTCATTATATTTTCTGTTCATTCAAAGAGGTTGTCAAACGCAGATGTTATCTTCTCATGCACATAAGAACGTTGTTGATAATAGATTTATCTTAAAGGGACACCTTTGAACGAAATTTGAAAAAAAAAAAAAAAAAATATTTATTAGTATTTATGCATAGACTTTTACATGGGGTTATAACGTCGACATAGCGTATTGAAATACAAATATGGCATTTGGCAATATTCAATTTCTTTTTTTTACCTGTAGGTTAACAAACCGGCCGATGGTGCCAAAATCCAAGTCTTTCAGTGTACACACTGTGTTTTGTCATCATTGTTTAGTCCAAGAATAATTAACTTCAAACTACGTTTCAATCTCATTTAAAGAATTCTAAAACCACCAACAAGTATACTCATTTGATTAATCATCAGAAATGCAACTGGAGAGATTTTATTGTTTTTGTACCAGACCATCTTGTGAAAGTAGCCTTCAACAAGATAGGTAACAAAGATATTGACAGCGGATTAGAAAAAAGTCAGTTTCCCGGCGTCTCATGGATTTATAGCTCGATTTGGCTTTTCAGACTTCCACCATGAAAAGGAAATAGCCGGTCGCCATTTTTGTAGAATTTGTGACATCATTTCCACTGTCAATAGGATGCAGAAAGTATTTGATTTCACCTATCCCTTTGTGCATTGCAGTAGTTTTTTTCCTGATAAGTGTTTAAGTCATGGTGAAATATTTCATGCTGGTGATGGTTGCGTTTTTGCCAAATGCGCTAAATGTGTGGGCGTATATTACCTTGCCTCATATAAGCTATCATTCATATACTTTCTTTCTAAAATTGTGACGGAGTAATTTTATATTTTACGTCCACCGATCGAACTTGTCACAGTAAATGAGTAAAGGTGATAAGCGGTTGTGATTGAGTATTATATAAAGTAAGAATATCAATATCACACTATATAATATATTGATTTCTAGTCATCTATAATTACATACACAAATAAACCTTCTTGTCAACTCAAATCTTTTTAATTTAAAGGACATGATCCGGATTACTTTTGATTTTTAGTCATAATGACGAAATGATCTTTTTAGTAAGATATTAGTTATTTTAACCAGCTTGGGCAACACAGGAGTCAGTTCGGGCAAAATCTTGTCCTAGTCAACTATTTTAATCAATTTGAGCAACATTTCCCGAGTCAACTATTTCAATCAGTCCGGGTAACATCTCTTCCTAGTAAATTTTTTAATCATTTCTGACAACATCTCCCGGGTGAATTATTTTAATCAGTCCTTGCAACATCTCCCGGGTCAACTATTTTAATCATTTCGGGCAACATCTCCCGGGTCAACTATTTTAATCATTTCGGGCAACATCTCCCGGGTCAACTATTTAAATCAGTCCTTGCAACATCTCCCGGGTCAACTATTTTTATTAGTTCGGTCAACATCTCCCGGTTAAACTATCTTAATCAGTTCGGGTAACATCTCCCGAATAAACTATTTTAATCATTTCGGGCAACATTTACTGGGTAAACTATTTTAATCAGTTCTGGCAACATCTCCCGGGTCAACTATATTAATCATTTCGGGCAACATCTCCCGGGTCAACTATTTCAATCAGTTCTGGCAACATCTCCCGGGTCAACTATTTTTATTAGTTCGGTCAACATCTCCCGGTTAAACTATCTTAATCAGTTCGGGTAACATCTCCCGAGTAAACTATTTTAATCATTTCGGGTAACATCTACAGGGTAAACTATTTTTATCAGTTCTTGCAACATCTCCCGGGTCAACTATTTTAATCATTTCGGGCAACATCTCCCGGGTCAACTATTTTAATCAGTTCGGGAAACATCTCCCGGGTAAACTATTTTAATCATTTCTGGTAACATCTCCCGAGTAAACTATTTTAATCATTTCGGGTAACATCTCCCTAGTAAACTATTTTAATCATTTCGGGTAACATCTCCCGAGTAAACTATTTTAATCATTTCTGGTAACATCTCCCGGGTCAACTATTTTTATTAGTTCGGTCAACATCTCCCGGGTAAACTATTTTAATCAGTTCGGGTAACATCTCCCGAGTAAACTATTTTAATCATTTCGGGTAACATCTACAGGGTAAACTATTTTAATCAGTTCTGGCAACATCTCCCGGGTCAACTATTTTAATCAGTTCGGGAAACATCTCCCGGGTCAACTATTTTTATTAGTGCGTGCAACATCTCCCGGTTAAACTATCTTAATCAGCTCGGGAAACATCTCCCGAGTAAACTATTTTAATCAGTTCGAGCAACATCTCCCGAGTTAACTATCTTAATCATTTCGGGCAACATCTCCGAGTCAACTATTTTAATCAGTTCGGGCAACATCTCCGGGTCAACTATTTTAATCAGTTCGGGCAACATCTCCGAGTCAACTATTTTGATCAGTTCGGGCAACATCTCAGAGTCAACTATTTTAATCAGTTTGGGCAACATCTCCCTGGTCAACTATTTTAATCAATTCGGGCAACATCTCAGAGTCAACTATTTTAATCAGTTTGGGCAACATCTCCCTGGTCAACTATTTTAATCAATTCGGGCAACATCTCAGAGTCAACTATTTTAATCAGTTTGGGCAACATCTCAGAGTCAACTATTTTAATCAATTCGGGCAACATCTCAGAGTCAACTATTTTAATCAGTTTGGGCAACATCTCCCTGGTCAACTATTTTAATCAATTCGGGCAACATCTCCCGGGTCAACTATATTAATCAGTTCGGGCAACATCTCAGAGTCAACTCTTTAAATCAGTTCGGGCAACATCTCCCGAGTAAACTATTTTAATCAGTTCGGGTAACAATTCTCTAGTGAACTATTTAAATCAGTTCGGGCAACATCTCCCGAGTAAACTATTTTAATCAGTTCGGACAACATCTCCCGAGTAAAACTATTTTAATCAGTTCGGGCAAAATCTCCCGGGTCAACTATTTTAATCAGTTCGGGCAACATCTCCCGGGTCAACTATTTTAATCAGTTCGGGCAAAATCTCCCGGGTCAACTATTTTAATCAGTTCGGGCGACATCTACCGGGTCAACTATTTTAATCAGTTCGGGCAAAATCTCCCGGGTCAACTATTTTAATCAGTTCGGGCAAAATCTCCCGGGTCAACTATATCAATCAGTTCGGGCAACATCTCCGAGTCAACTATTTTAATCAGTTCGGGCAAAATCTCCCGTTAAACTATTTTAATCAGTTCGGACAACATCTCCCGAGTAAACTATTTTAATCAGTTCGGGCAAAATCTCCCGGGTCAACTATTTTAATCAGTTCGGGCAACATCTCCCGGGTCAACTATTTTAATCAGTTCGGGCAAAATCTCCCGGGTCAACTATTTTAATCAGTTCGGGCAAAATCTCCCGGGTCAACTATATCAATCAGTTCGGGCAACATCTCCGAGTCAACTATTTTAATCAGTTCGGGCAAAATCTCCCGGGTCAACTATTTTAATCAGATTCAGCTATGACGGTATTTTCCATAGTGATAATCTAGTTAAATTTTTGTCGATTATCAGTGGACCCTAACTGTTGCAAATTTTTCATATTTCACTGCTGTAAATAGAATTCATGCCAAACGATATGCTCTTTGCCAAAGTTTAGAAAACGTCTGATTCACTTTGATTTTGATTTAATTTTACGCTTCACTGATTGCATTAGTTACGGTATATCATCAGTCAAATGTTATTTATATATTCCAGAATCGATTTGGTATAAAACTGTGTATTTTAACTTATTCAATCTATACTTTGTATTGACCGCGTAATGCATAATCCATTATAAAAATATGTTGCCATACATCTGCTTAATTCATGTACAGTTTTATAATACATTCTTCTCGAAGGTTCAAGAAGCACAGTTGTTTAACAACTACAACCACATCTCCCTACTCTCTATATATACCTTATCAAAAAGCCATCATAGGCCTAATACACTTTTAAATCTGACTTTTGATAAAGCAATTGATTTTGGGATTAATACTTGAGACAACTTGATAATTCCATGGGAATATATTAGGTGCATGTTATTTAAGTACAAGTTACAGTTTTATGGTTGCGGCATGTCCTCTGTGGCTCGCCGTATTATTAAAGGGAGGTAACTCGAATACTATTATAGTCACATGATCCGGAAATGGATAGGAGGTGTGTAAACAACTACAGAAAAAGATATTGTTAAATGTTACGTTTTGCTTTTATTCCTTTGTTTACAGTTGGCAGGTGATTTCACCAAAGTGTTAACTCTTAGTTATTGATGAGTTTTATCGGATAAATATTGCAGAAATTGAATAAAGAATGATGCGTAAAGAGATTGTCAAGATACTGAGATTGAGAGATAAAATTGCATCAAAAAATATGTAAAATTTCGTCTGCACATCAACTTGATGAAGTCTGAGAAACAAATACTTACCAAATATACGATCAAAGAAACAAAATAATATGTATAGTCTTTCATACAACATGTCAAATGCTGGTTTTAAGATATTACCGGTACATGTCAATTACTTCAGTCCTAATATCAGTAGAGTCCGAGGAATTGTGGCTTTTATGAGCTTACTTACTTGAATCTATAATTGAGCCTTACTTACATGTACAGTCGAGTAACCTAATTTCGTGGAAACCTATTATTCGTGGATTTCCGGAAAGGATTAATAATTTACATGAGCGACCTTGCGCGTCCTCCGCATTAGTTTGTTTTGATAAACATGGGTTTTCTCTATAATATCAGCTAGTAGAGTGAATCCAGTAGTTTCAAGCAAGGTAAAATGTATTAATGTATACTTTGACAAATACAAAATGGCGGATTTCACTTATTACCAAACGTCACCATTTTTTATCGGACAAATTTCATTATAATCCCGAGCGTTAATCGGAATTCCAAGTGTCGTCTGCTAGAATATAATCCAACGAATTAAGTCACGTGATCAATTAGTGGATTCCGTGTCAGCAGAAAATTTCTATGGAACACAAAGTGGACCATATTCTTATGTTGTTTCAGTGACTTTTAGCAATAAATCACGCTACGTATCTTATTTTGTCAGTCACTATTTTTTTTTTCAATCGTGCTTCTTTGAAGGAATTGTCACTAGTTATAATGAATTGATATTAAAGATAAATACTAAGAGAAGTTAATTGTATCACCTGGTATCCATACAACGTGTTTTTCTAGACTTATTTATAGATAAAACATTATACACTAAAATAGGTAACGCATTCTGCCTCTGTTCCCGAGTTGGTTGCTCATGAAATATAGGTCAAAGTGAAGGATTCATTAAGAAAATCGAAATAAACCAATTTCTATTATTTTGTAGAATATCTGAGGAAACATCTAAGACATAAATTTTTTTTTTCGTTTTTTTTAACTTTGACGAAATTCGGTGTTGAATCTTTATATCCACGAAAATAGGTTACACCACTGTACATAAAATCTTAGAAGAATTCAATACAGATAAAGTTTTTAAAGTTTAAATGACTGCACTAGGCTTGTCGACAAGATAGACAATGGAACAGAGCGGAGGTACTATAAGATTAATAAGGTAACCTTGTTTGAAAACATTTACATAATTTTTTTGTAAAATGCATTTTATTATTTATTTTCTTTTTTTATTTTGCAGTTCATCTAGCATGCCATAATATTTGTAACAATTTTATACAGTTCGTTTATTAACCAAAGTGATCCAAAAAAATGGCAGACTTTTTAGCTGAAAATAACCAGTGTGGACAGAATATTTTAAGACTCGTTTCTCGTGGAAATGCCATCATTGCTGAATTATTACGTTTAGCAGATTTTATCCCTCCTATTTTCCGGCTGGATAATAGAAATGACGTGACCAGATATAGTGAAATTATAGCAGATTTCAGTTATTTTAAAAGTTCAGAATTCTTTGACCATAGAATAGAGTCAAGAGTTGTAAGTGTCCATATTTATGTTATAGATTGATATGGGTGCATGTCACAGTTATTGAAATATCACATCAGAATAAGGGAATCAAGACATAAGGTGGTAAACGAAATCAAGCAATTACTTTCACCATAAACCTATATTGAATTAATGTTTTCTTCACATGAAAAGCATAAGTTGAACAAATGGAGATAATTTAGTATTAGGCCTATATTCCTTTCCGCAGCTCCATTTTAAATAGAGATATGGTTAAATTTAAAAGGATATATGGGAATTCCAAATTCATTTGCACAGTTCCACATATTGTTTGGATAATTGAAAGACATGACCTTGTCACTAGTTTTGAAATCTTATTTTATTGGTAGAGAAATTACAGTCTTTTCATGATCAGATATGGAATGTCATTTCAGGAACTACAAGATTTAGATGAAGAATTCAGTGAGAATCACATTGAAATATTAACCAGGTTTTACCAAGCTTTTGCCAGTGTACATAAATATGTTTCAGATCTAAACAGGTATTATTGTTGTTTTTTTCTGTGAGATTTTAGACACAGCTTTATTTAATCATAGATTAAAATCCTAAACAAAGAAAGATGTTTTTATAAAAACTCATCTTGAAGTTATGATACCCAAGAATAAGCTTACTGAACTTGTTGCACCATATTTTGTGTAAATTTGACATAGATGAAAATTGAAAAAGAACTTCTGCACCACACAATTTTTTGATAAAATACTGTTGAAGAATTAATTCAAAGATGATTTTTTTTGTAGATATTTAGAAGATTTAGATGAAGGTGTATACATACAACAAACATTAGAATCAGTATTTTTAAATGATGATGGTAAACAACTCATGGTAAGTATTAATATCTAGACATTGTGGAATAACACTGGACAATATTAAGATTATACATACAGATAGCATTGATGTTTTTCATGATCTTTCAAATACTCAGATTATTTTTCTAGATTCTAGGAAAATTTCATAATTCCTCTTTACCATTTTGCTTGTCAACTGATATCCAGCTAGTTTTATTTGTGTATATTTTGTAGTGTGAAGCATTATATCTATATGGTGTTATGTTATTGTTAATTGATATTAAATTTGAAGGAATTGTTAGAGAAAGAATTCTAGTATCCTATTACAGATACAGGTAAGTTTAATTATTCTAGTCAATTGTATATTCTCATAAAAATTAATTTGATAATTACTATTTCATACTCACACTATTGTCTTCAAGTTTTATGGGGTTTTTAGGCAACCATAGATTTTGGTGATGATGAAGCAATTTTAAAGAACTGATATGAGCGAAAATTGTAAAAATTGATTTGTATGTCTACAAAGTGCACTTTTGATTCTTTTGTTTGTCTCAGGACAGGATTTATTTTGGTGGCAATATTGACTAAACCAGTTGAATTTATTTTTCAGTGCTCAGAAGTCAGCAGCCACAGATTCTAGTATTGATGATGTTTGTAAATTATTACGTAGTACTGGTTTTTCTAACTTACCTGGTGCTAAACGTCCACCAAATTATCCTGAATCATTCTTCAAGTAAGTATTGTGTAAATATATACCTTCACTAAATTATCCTGAATCTTTCTTCAAGTAAGTACTGTCTATATATACAACTTCTAGACTATAAATAAGTCTAGAAAAACACGTTGTGTGGATACCGGGTGATATAATTAACTTCTCTTAGTATTTATCTTTAATATCAATTCATTATAACTAGTGACAATTCCTTCAAGCACGATTTAAAAAAAAAATAGTGACTGACAAAATAAGATACGTAGCGTGATTTATTGCTAAAAGTCACTGAAACAACATAAAAATATGGTCCACTTTGTGTTCCATAGAAATTTTCTGCTGACACGGAATCCGCTAATTGATCACGTGACTTCATTTGTTGGATTATATTCTAGCAGACGACACTTGGAATTCCGATTAACGCTCGGGATTCACTCTACTAGCTGATATTATAGAGAAAACCCATGTTTATCAAAACAAACTAATGCGGAGGACGCGCAAGGTCGCTCATGTAAATTATTAATCCTTTCCGGAAATCCACGAATAATAGGTTTCCACGAAATTAGGTTACTCGACTGTACATGTAAGTAAGGCTCAATTATAGATTCAAGTAATATTGACATATTATTCTACATCTGTGTATATAACTTCACCAAACTGAATGATTCTTCAAGTAAGTACTGTCTATATATAACTTCAACAAAATATTCTGAATCATTCTACATCTGTGTATATAACTTCACCAAACTGAATCATTCTTCAAGTAAGTACTGTCTATATATAACTTCAACAAAATATTCTGAATCATTCTACATCTGTGTATATAACTTCACCAAACTGAATCATTCTTCAAGTAAGTACTATCTATATATAACTTCACCAAATTATTCTGAATCATTCTACATCTGTGTATATAACTTCACCATACTGAATCATTCTATAAGTAAGTACTGTCTATATATAACTTCACCAACATATTCTGAATCATTCTACATCTGTGTATATAACTTCACCATACTGAATCATTCTTCAAGTAAGTACTGTCTATATATAACTTCACCAACATATTCTGAATCATTCTACATCTGTGTATATAACTTCACCATACTGAATCATTCTATAAGTAAGTATTATGTAAATATATACCTTCACTAAATTATCCTGAATCTTTCTTCAAGTAAGTGAATTTAATGACTCCAAAAGAACATATTGTTTTCTCAGTCATCAGATTTTTTTTGTATTTTCCAGTCGTGTACCTATAAATGAGGAGTATATTAACATTGTTGTTGGTAGATTGAGATCAGATGATATCTATAATCAAATATCAGCTTATCCTCTACCAGAACATAGATCTACTGCTCTAGCTACACAAGCCAGTATGTTATATATTATATTATACTTTGAACCTGATATCTTATATACTCAACAAGCTAAAATGAGGGAAATTGTTGACAAGCATTTCCCTGATAATTGGGTAAGTAAATACTCCTTTTTCTTTTGAAAGTATGTATTTGCAGCTTCAGATCTGTTAAATGTGCTGCTGTAATGAGATCTCTGCTTTAATTCCAAAATCTGATGTCTGCAACTAAAATCCAGCTACTGTATGTAACTTGTGTAAATTTGCTATCTTTCCATAGAACCAAATTTGATCACAGTACTAAAAAAATCTATATCTCATATAGTCATAGGTTGTATCAAAGTCACACCTAAGCCTAAGCTTCAATGAATTTGTTCTTGTTTTACAGGTTATCAGTATCTATATGGGTGTCATTGTTAATTTGATGGATGCTTGGTTACCATATAAAGCAGCTATAACAGCTCTGAATAATACTTTAGATACCAATAATGTTAGAGAACAGGTATTTTAATTTATTATACAGTCTAGCTGAATATACCAGGAATCCTGCATGTTCCTGACCTCCCTCAATCAATCCGACCAATTTATCCTTGGTTTGGAACTTTGTCAATCTAACTAAAATGTAGATTTTGATGCTACGTTTCATGTTTTTCTATGAGTTACAACACTTGCCTTCCATGATCTGACAAATTTTTTGTTTTAATCATGGAATGTTGTATAAATTTACCCTATCCATTAAAAATAAATGAAAAAAATGAGTCAATGCTTACAAATGAATATCTCAGGGCACATTCTATTGAACCGATCATTTATTGTGTCAATATTATATTACTTTAAACAGGAGATGCATAACAATTTTATCAGATCATAGATGGCAATCGAATTCACCAACAGAAAAAGCGCCAAATGAAGCATCCAGATTTGAATTTTGATTCGATTGAAACTTGGTATGCTTGTTTGTGACAACAATAGATATTTGTTTTACATGTATCTTTATTGAAATTTTGGAAAAGTGGTCACCTTTGAGGATGATTTTTGAGAAGGTTTGGAAAAGGGTGTTTTTCTCCCACCTTGATGTACAACTTTATCTAGTAAGAAGTGTATTTGAGTTGATTAACAGTTTAATATTAACACGAACACAATTATATGGATAACAATTACTTTAATAAATAACTTGCGACGTTTCGACGATGATTCTTTCGTCTTTGTCAAGCATATTGCTCGTGTTCGTGTTCGTGTTCGTGTGTTCGTGTTAATATCATCAATTACTAAATGCCACTCAAGGCAGTTTAATATTGTTTTTAATTCAAATCTTTGATAAATGATCAATTTTGTTTCATGGTTTGCAAGTTAAGGGTTAATTCTACTCAGGGATAAAGGATTTTTTAGAAATTTAGACAAAAGGTGATAAACACAGATATATGGGGTGAGCTGAAATCAGTAGAGACCTCTCTACATCCGAATTGATTGAGGGGGTGAGCTGAACTGATATCAGTGTAGGCTAGAGACCTCTCTACAACTGTATTGTATATTCATTGTGACTGCAGACATCCCAGGGTTCACTTCTTCTTGTTGTCATGTCAGCAAAATAACAGAAAATGTTTAGATGCAGAACTTTGACCATTCATCTCAAGTTTTTTAGGTAAGTTTCTTTTTGAATTTTATATTGTATGGTTATTAAGTGAATTCAATTCTTCCATTTGAAATTTTTGTTTTCAATATGACAAATATTTGATAAATCTTCTAAAATTTGATTGATCTATGAATTTCCCATGGATTCCTTTTTAAAACAAATTTCAATCTTCTAAACTACATCATTAGAGATTTGAGTATCAGTCTTCTGTGTACTCAGTTTTAATACATACAGTTGATGACTGTAGAATACTGAAAATTTCTGTTGGAATGATAATGTTATGATGTGTGATAAGAATATAACTGATGGAATGATAATGTTATAATATATGATAGGAATAAAACTGTAAGAATGATAATGTTATTTTATATGATAGGAATATAACTGATGGAATGATAATGTTATAATATATGATAGGAATAAAACTGTAAGAATGATAATGTTATTTTATATGATAGGAATATAACTGATGGAATGATAATGTTATAATATATGATAGGAATAAAACTGTAAGAATGATAATGTTATTTTATATGATAGGAATATAACTGATGGAATGATAATGTTATAATATATGATAGGAAATCTAGGAATTTGAAGTATATGTTTATCTGCATCTTTCAACATTTAGTAACTCTTACTCCTCACTAACTCTAATACCTAACCTACCAACACCCATTCTTTTTACACTGAGATTCCTAGATGTTATACACCAACAAATTTCACTTTTCATTTATGCGATGTAAGGAATCTTGGTTTCAAATTGCTCAATTTTCCTGCTTTTGAGTTGAATACAAAGTGCCAATCAAATACTTTAATACAAATTGATATGATTTGTTATTAATGAATGTAGTAAGTGATCATCATCTCCTGATTCAAAATAATAGTTATGTTTTGCTTGTTGATTTTTTTTGAAGAAATACCACATTGTATAATAGAAAGAGTAATAGATAAGTTAAGGTAATAATAGGCTATGTTTATTGTTACATGTATGAGAAATCTGGCTTCTGTGAACCCTGTTAATATAGAATATAAAAATAACACTCTTTTAATTTATCATTTCAGAATATATTTTTAAAACTGAGATGAGGGTAAAAAGGAGCTGTTAAACTGCTGAATGATGTACAATGATTAAATATTAAAGGGAAATAGTGTTGTAATTGTTTGAGATTTCCTTCATTCAGTCAGCAAATATTGCTGCATGATTTACAAAGTTACATGCATGACTGTTGGTTTCCTTCAATTTATCTAGAATCTCCAGACAAATTGAGAATTGTAAAACTATCTGGTGAATTCAATAAAAGACATTATTGAACATTGTCTTTATGTATGTTTTATTATTAAAAGGATTTGAACTGTGTTGTTTTTATTTTAAGATTGTTCGATTTTCTACTGTCTATAAAGAAATTCGAATTGGCTCTGATTGACCAATGATTGACTTGATGAGAGATTTACAATTTTGCAATTCTTAAGTCAGACCAATAACTTGCAATAGAAGACCACACTCTGTAAACAAAATTTATGTATGAAATGCATAAGAAGTATTCACAAACCTGTAGCACACTTAGACAATGTATCTGTTATGGAAACCAGACAATTGTTAATATTCAGAAATCCTCACACAATTTTCTGATTTTTTTTAAACATGAGCTATTTAGTTAATTTTTATATGGACACATGGCAATAAAGTGAACATATATAATGCCTCTGTCCATATTTATTTTCTTTTTCTGAGACTAAAGATTAGACCTCATGTGTTGAGTTTCAAAAGTGAAAGTTTTCACTGAAAGATGTTTGGGTTATAAGAATTGAATAAGTTTATGGCTATTAAAATTAGTTTATTCGCATGATGGTGACAGGTTTTCAACAGATTGTGACGGAATATTTTTATATAGATTGATACAGACAAGAATTGAATTCCTTAACTACTGTTTAAGTATTCATCTGTGACCAGCAAAGTTGCTCGCGAAATTGCTGCTATGTGAGCAAATATCTCTTGGTGACTTCTAGTTTATTTCAATGTATCATGAGGTCATGGTGGTTTATATGAAAACATCTGCAATATTATTGACAAACATGTCTGATGCTTGTGGATGCAACCATTTTGGAAAACAAAGTTGAGAACCTATGATATGTATTTCAGTCTGTAAGATATGCTAAGAAGTTAGAGAAGTTACAGCCTGTATTAGATAAATATCTTAAAGAGGGTGTATTAATGGAAGAATTTGTCTTAGATAATATACCTAAATTGATGAATGTAATGAGAGATAGTAATGTCACTTTAAGATGGTTAATGTTACATACAGCTGCCTTACCACCAAGTAGGTTCAAAGATTATTTATTTGGAGTAATCTCCCCTGCATAGTATCATTTTGTTATACATTTACATTTGCGCTGAAATTACAATAGCTTAACAATGAAAAAGATCCACAAGAACCATTAATTACACAAAATAATTCAGCCCTGTATCCATTTTGGAGATCCAGTTTTGTCAGTCAGATGTGTAACTGATAGCTAAAAAAATCTGGCTGTCACTGGTTCCCCATTGCATTTGTCTGTGGTCATTCACCAAATCAGGTGCAAAGGTAACCGTAATTCAATGGAATAGAAAGCATCTTCAAAAACCAAGATGAAACCCCCAACTCAATGGTAGGATTACTAAACTAATAGTAATTACCTAAAAATGTTTTTTTTCTCCTTTTCTATTTAGCCGCAGAATTGAATAAAAAATGTAAACTAATTCGAGATCAAGTCATAGTAGATAGTAAATACAATGCTTTATTAGTATTTCAACATCTACTCAATACAGCACAGTATGAATATAAACTTAAAGAGGTATGAGTTAATATTTTTTATACTTAACTTTCTGTGAAGTATAATGACCGAAAAAAATAATAACCAAGGACAAGTTTTTACCGATTTTTTGAAAGCTCGTAGACCACACCCCAGATCCATATCTTGTAAAATTTTTAAGGCCGTCGTCATCAAGAATAATAGAAAAGATTTTACAAGGCTTTGTACAAAATTATGTAATAGATAGTGTGCATGTTACTCATGTTTTATCAAATATACAGTTATTCCGGCAAATGTTGGATGAGAAACAGAATAAATGGGAAGCGTATAAAGTTGAGGGACAAGAGAGAATGCAAGAATTAGGAGATGTGTTTTCTGGTACTAAACCACTTACTAGAGTTGAAAAAAGTGGTAAGTGAACATTTATTATCTGCATCCATATCATTGCATTTTCCAGACTCCAATGTGATAATTGTAGAGAAAATATGTGTGCTCAATTTGCACTTAATTAGCAATAGAAATATGTCCACCATCCTATTGAGTCATTCTTAGATTGTAAAAATTAGATCAGTCATATCTGCTTTACGTTGTGACTTGCAGTACATTTATTCTAAGCTTTCATTTTTAGAAAGTTTACAAAATTGGTTTGGTGAGATGACAAAACAGATAGCATCGCTAGATTATGAAGATTCTACATCTGCTGGTAGGAAGATTATACAACTTATACAAGCTATGGAAGAGGTGAGGATATAGGTTTCTTTAATATCATATTTTTTTTCAACTTGTAGCTCATATTGTAGCTGAATACTATTGACTTAGTTTCAATATTATTTTCACTTTTAGGCATTGGAAATCAAACATTTAATGTACTGTCAATTGCAGTTTTCCTTTATCGCACTATGTGTTATTGTAATCATATTATAGAATGAATCAGACCAGAAAATAGAGAGACTGGCTGGCCAGGTTACTTCAGAATAATGTACCATCACAGAATATTGTTTTATTGTATTCCATTGCAGAATTTAAGTAATTACGTATGATATAAATAATTCAGGTTCAAGAGTTTCATCAGTTAGAAAGTAATTTACAAGTCAAACAGTTTTTAGCTGATACTAGAAAATATCTCCATCAAATGTTACGTACTATTAATATTAAAGAAGAGGTTTTAATACAGACTGAAATAGTGGCTGATTTATCTTATGCTTGGGAAATTATTGATAGGTATGTAGTTGAATAATGTCTTCAAAAAATATACAGATGGGAAAGGATTCTGATTTTGTATTAGGGAAGACAATCATTGCCAAAGTATAACTGCATACATATATTTTGTATTTATTTATGATATTCTGGTTTTAATATATTGCAATACTTTCATTCAATTTTACAATTTATGAAAGTTGACCATTGGTTCCATTTTTATATTACAGTTATACAGGATATATGCAGCAAGGAATTAAGAAAGATCCATCACTTGTTATTAAACTTAGAGCAACATTTCTAAAGGTAATTTTATTTTTAAAAATATATCAGAATTACAATACTCACTTTAAACATACTTACAAAGATATAAAACAATTTAAGCCCATCTTCATTTGATAGTATTAGAGAATGTATTGGTAGTATTTCCTGATAGTCAATTACTTTAATATAGTGAAATTTTCAATCCTCTATTGTAGATGGCCTCAGCCTTAGATTTACCATTGTTACGTGTTAATCAAGCTGGTAGTAAAGATTTAATGAGTGTATCACAGTATTACTCTGGGGAACTGGTAGCTTATGTTAGAAAAGTCCTACAGGTAAAACTTTTTCCATATGTAGCACTTTGTAACAAATGGAGATCTGAAAGTTTCTATTGCTACTCAACCATTGGGTTGGTATTGCAATCTGTTCAGTCCATGTACATGTTTTTTTTAAATAAATCTGAAATTGTCAGTCTGAAAAAAGAATACTGCAATAATATTCCTGGGATAAACAACTCATTTCATAATTTTTTACATTTTGTTAGATTATACCACAGACAATGTTTAGTTTGTTAGCTAGTATTATCAGACTATTAACTAACAGAATACAAGAAGTACCAACTAGACTAGAAAAAGATAAAATGAAAGACTTTGCTCAGTTAGATGAGAGATATCAGGTAATACCTTATTAAACTTACAGCTACAGTGAGCTATAGCAGGTGCTTGTTAATTGGAGGGACTACAGATACTATCTCAGTGTTCTGCTGGAATTTACATTTGTTAGTGATAGTGGTTGATGGAGCTAATGCAGGACAAGAGTATAACGTTTTTTCATGTGCTGTGCTTACTATAGATCTCTGTTTGGACAATTATCCCCTCTGTCTTGCAGAAGAATTTTTCTTAAAATTGTCAAGATGACAACTCTAGAACTCTGTTACCAGGGGATGAATGGCTCCAATATATTTCATTTCAGTATGAGGTCTTTTTCAATGATTTGAACAATTTTTCATACCAAGACATCTTAAGGTCTTAGAATGAGACTCTCATGTGTTAAAATGAGAAATAAGAATAGTAGTTTTCTCCTGTTTTGTGTTACAGGTAGCTAAATTAACCCACTCTATATCTGTATTTACTGAGGGAATACTGATGATGAAAACAACTTTAGTTGGTATTATTAAGGTAACAAATTTTGTGGTTTGGGAAAATATGTCAATTGTTTGGCTGTACACTCAGACTTAAAAACCTTGGCACAAGATTCAGATATGATTCAATGTTGGTGGTACGTTATTAAAACAAACCTCTTAGCGATGATAATTTTTAGGTAATCTGTGCCCTTTGACAATCTAAAATTCCTTAATTCAAGAATTATGACTTATTTAAGGTCACATGAGACTTCAGATTTGACAGCACAAGTTACAGATTGTATAGTGTTTGTATCACTGCTCACTGAAACAAGGACCATAAACCATTAGTATATTTTAGATTGATCCTAAACGTCTACTAGAAGATGGTATAAGAAAAGAGTTGGTACAACAAGTAGCTTATGCTTTACATAAAGGCATCATGTTTAATCCTAAAGCCAAGGTATGTAAATATAAGATATGGTAGGTATATTTGTGATGTTGATATTGCGAAAGAGTTGTTTTTGAAGATGAACAGACTGAAGCTTTGAGCAGAAAATCTACAGAATTACTAGTTTTATATGAAAATCCTTGCTAGAGATTGATTTTAATTTATTTTTATTTCAAGCCTGTAAATTGTCAATTCCTTTAAATGTCATTTATTACATGTAGTTGACTTACACCGGCTTTAAAAAGTCATTTAATTTTTTGTATCTGTTGAATTTTAGGTGAGTGAACTATTACCCAAGTTAGCTACACTAGGTGAACAAATGGATGGTTTTAGAAGATCATTTGAGTATATACAGGACTATGTGAATATCTATGGTTTAAAGATATGGCAAGAAGAAATATCTAGAATTATTTATTATAATGTTGAACAAGAATGTAATAGCTTCTTAAGAACAAAGGTAGGTTTATTCTATATTCAGAAGTCATATGAGGTTGGAAGCTGACATTGGGCTTACTCTCAAAAGCACTGGCCATAACATAAGAATTTTTATTACCTAGAGGAGGAATGAAACTGACAGCACCTAGCAGATGACAATCCAACGTTTTTAAACAAAAGGACTAGATATAATGATCAATTCTCACCATGTGTATGTATTCTTTTGCATCACCATTATCATTCTTTCAATACATTCAAAGTTCTAAACACTACAGCATCTTTTTCTTGTTTCATGTACAAAATTGAGAATGAAAGTTAATTAGTATTGTATTTTAGGTGTTAGATTGGCAGAGTGTTTATCAATCAACAGCTATACCTATACCTAGATTTCCACCAGTAGATGAAAGTGTTAATTTTATTGGAAGACTAGCTAGAGAGATATTACGTATAACAGATTCTAGGACTACTATTTATATAGATCAGATGAAAGCTTGGTATGATGTTAAAACTAAACAAGAAGTAGCAAATAGAACTTTATTTCAACAAATACATGTAAGTTAGTGAAATTTTGGGAGTGGGAAGTTTTGGACTGTCAGGTTTAGATAGATTACTATGTTTTATATATATTGTAGAGAGCAGTGGGAGGTTTTGGACTGTCAGGTTTAGATAGATTACTATGTTTTATATATATTGTAGAGAGCAGTGGGAAGTTTTGGACTGTCAGGTTTAGATAGATTACTATGTTTTATATATATTGTAGAGAGCAGTGGGAAGTTTTGGACTGTCAGGTTTAGATAGATTACTATGTTTTATATATATTGTAGAGAGCAGTGGGAAGTTTTGGACTGTCAGGTTTAGATAGATTACTATGTTTTATATATATTGTAGAGAGCAGTGGGAAGTTTTGGACTGTCAGGTTTAGATAGATTACTATGTTTTATATCTATTGTAGAGAGCAGTGGGAAGTTTTGGACTGTCAGGTTTAGATAGATTACTATGTTTTATATCTATTGTAGAGAGCAGTGGGAAGTTTTGGACTGTCAGGTTTAGATAGATTACTATGTTTTATATCTATTGTAGAGAGCAGTGGGAAGTTTTGGACTGTCAGGTTTAGATAGATTACTATGTTTTATATATATTGTAGAGAGCAGTGGGAAGTTTTGGACTGTCAGGTTTAGATAGATTACTATGTTTTATGATAGTTAAAGAATTACAGAATTTTCAACTGAACCTACAACGTGGTGTTATCAGGGATAAATCTTGGTTAGAGTTCTTCTCATTATATACTAAATTATTACAACCATTACAAGGAACTGTCAGTAAGTATATTTAGTAAAAACTTTCAGATAAGTTAAGTGACACATTTCTCTAAATTTTTTGTAGTTTTCATAAATTTGAGCAAAAATATTTTTCAACCTTTTCTGTAATATTTTAGGCTATTTCATAAAATACTTTCAGTGATATTTTGGAGATGATATTTCAACTTGGCAAGATGTTCTTCGTAAAAATCTTGATCAGGAATATAAAAACTATGTAATGAAAACAATTTGATGAAAATAATTGTGTGTTGATCATAACCTAGAAGTAATCAGTTTGAAAAACAATGAACCAGACTAGTAGTTGATTTTATTGTCTTTGATTATTTACAGATCAACCTCAGAAAGTGTATTCACAAGCTGTATCTAAAACTGTTAAATTATGGCCAGTCTATCTAGATATTATATTACGGGTAAGTAAATTAACTTTCAAGTTTGTAGAATTCATATCCTTAATGGTTGTAAACAGATGAAGGAAATAAAAGATTTGTCACCTTCATGGAAGCGACCTTCCAGTTTTCAACAGTATATCGATTATAAATACATGGCATATGGTTTAGATGTCTGCCATTTCAGATGTATGATTTGTTTTATTGTTTAAAGGTTGGTCAAATGCAGTTATTAAGAAGACAGATAGCTTATGAATTGAATACATCTTGTAAATTTGATTCTAAATTCTTAGCCAGCTCTTTACAGACAGTGAATCGGTAAGTAGATTTTTTGTGACAGAAATGCATACCATTCCAAATAAGGACTAAAAAAACTAATTATTTGTTAACAATTTGGCGACAGTTACTATTTTGGATCTTTGAATTGCATCTGCAATATGATTTTTATACTCTCACATCTCTCTTTGTGGACATATACTGTCTGCCTCCCCGTCTGTCAACTATTGCTTGTAAACGCTCTAAAAACTAGATTTTTTGATGGAATCAAGTGAAATTCGGTATGTGTATACATATTCATAAAACAAAAATCAAGTTCGAATTTGAGCTATTTTCCACCGTTAGAAGCAGAGTTATTGCCCTTGCCCCAAAATCCTGAATATTTACCGTCCGCATGCCGTGGTGGGTGTATATGGCTGTGGTCCACTATCTTTATAGAAGCAAATACATACATAGAGACAAGAAATATTAAAACATATTCATATTTTTCACCATATGGCAGTTGTTTGCAACTCATTACATTTATCCCTATGAATTGGGTTTGTTTCAGTGCCTTACTAGCAGATATAGAGAAACACTATCAAGATCCTACTCAACCTTATCCTAAAGAAGAAAATCCATTGATGTATGAATTAACTGCTTATTTAGAATCATCAGGTTTCCATAATCCTCTTGATAAAGTATGTTAAAATGTTATTGTTTTTTTCTCGTGTTCCAAAATTATTGTTGGTATAAAATTTTTAAACATGCAGTTGTAGCTGCAAATTACTCATTTCAAGACTATGAAATACAGTGTACTTCATATTTTCGAAAAGGTATCTCAATATCTACATTGGAAAAGAGCTAAAAGAAAGAAAAATCTAAATCAAGTAAGGTCATCAACTTAGGTACCAAACATCCGATGTCTCAGCTGATTTTGATCTTAACCTCTTGGATTGGATCAAACCCAGACCATCTTACTGAGTTACAGCTGGGTTGATTGTAATGACGACTTATGATGGTTCATGTACATAAGTTGTCATTTGTTCAATAAATTCATTATTTATTTTCAGATTTATATAACAACAATGAGAGTGCCATTCTTTCCTTTATTCAACTATTTCTTAGTTCTATCCCAATTACCAAAACTCGTTTACAATAAATCAGTCAGTAAGTATCAGTATTAAACCAAATATGAAATGTAGTTTACAGTAAATCAGTCAGTAAGTATCGATTTTATCACAAATAGGAAAAGTAGTTTACAATAAATCAGTCAGTAAGTATCAGTTTTATCACAAATATGAAAAGTAGTTCACAATAAATCAGTCAGTATTATCAAAACTAGTTTGCAATGAACAACTCAGCAATTGTGTGTCACTTCTCAATAAATTAAGCCAATTTGATAAATTTGATCAAAAACAATTAGGGCACCCATCTTTAACTATTTCCAGACAATTTCATGTTATGTTTGTATGTTATAGGTAGCTTAGTTAGTAAGAAGCCACAAGAACATTTAGATGCTCCTTCTTTTACAATTGGTGTTTTGACATTACTGAAACAATTCCATGCTGACAACACTAATTTCTTCTTAGCATTCCTTGGACAATATATTAGATCCTGTGTGGAAGCAATGAGCAGGTAGGATTTGGCCCTTACTTTTATCTAGATTGTGGTTTGATTCCAAGCATTTCTTGAACCATGGAACTCTGAAATATGTGGTTTCATATGCCTTAATAAAATTATAATTTGAATTTTGTGAAAATGTTGACAATTTCAGGTTAAACATACCAGATAGACTGTTAGACATTATCAGTATCTTGAGTGAGCAATGGTTGATGTGTCAGCTTGACCATTTCTTATTAGTTTGAGCAAGTTATTGTCTGTTGTTATATCTCTTCATGATTACGAGCATTATCTTTTTTTTCAGTTCGAAGTCCCCTGAACTGTCTCAAGATGTATTAAATGTATTATTGTTTTTAGAGGATTATATATTCTATAATCGTTTACCAAGAAAGGTTTGTAGCTATATTCTCTTCAAGTATTTTTACTTTGAATCAAAATAAAAACCTGCATTTCAATACCATGCAATTTTACAACTATTAATTGACTGGTGTGATGCACGCATCACAATGTCGAGTATCTTAACTGAAGTTGGGAGGTTAAAGACTGTTGGTTTTGGGCCAATACTCAATGCTCATACATAAAGGTAGTCAGGTCAGTACTCAAACTGTTTTGAGACGTTTTGGGGGGTTTTTCAACTGAACAAGCTACTCTGATGTAACTTTATGGCCCTTGGCATCTGATATTTGTATGTCGTTTGGATAAAACAAAACATTTTTTGAAAATTACGGTCTTGCAGGCATTTGAAAAATATCTTTTCTAATTTCAGTCAGTGGAATCTTTTATACCATCTTATATATTTGATGAATTTAGATCCCAGTATGCATAGTCAAAGACTGTTGGAGTTGCTTTATAGGCTACTGTCAAGATGTGTAGAAGTGGATTGTGGGCAATTTTTCAAAAACAATGATCAAGGAGCAATTAAATAGTAAATTTATTGCAAAATATAAAGTTGTTAAATTTATATTTGTTATTTATATAAAGAATATTGTTATATAAAATATTAAGAATAGAAATATAAATTGTTATTAACAAATTTGTGCTGCAGATGAATGACCATTGTCACTGTTACAGAGTGTCATATAGCATGTGAACAAGAAGAGATAAGAACACCCTTCTTCAAATATTCCTTAACACAAAAATGCACTTCCAGTTAAAAAATTGGGAAATTAATACAAAAAAAGTAATAGTTCTTTAGGCTCCATATAATTGACAGATTGAACAGATAAATTTTGACATGATTGTTGGAGAGAAATTAACCATCTTGAGGGCTGGAGGTTCAAAATTGACTAGCTTAATTGAATAATTAATTACAATCTCCAAAGGCAAATCTCGTAGATGTTGTGCTCAAAGGTTTAGACATCGTATGCATCAACTCTTACTAGCTTGGAAAGCATATTCATCGTTAATTATATATGAAATAAATAAGATTGGTTCCCAAAAATGAAGCAGACAAATAAATTACATAAAAATTAATAATTTTACTTTTATTCAGCTGTTTTATTGATCAAACAAAAAGATTACTTTATGAATTAATTTGAGTCCACTATTAATGGTATGGAGCAAATCAACTAGCTATACTCTATCTTGAATTTATTTTTGTCAGACAGAATCATAAGGATATGCATTATTTTTAATGGTAATTCTAATCAGGGTTTTCTACAGAATCATAAGGATATGCATTATTTTTAATGGTAATTCTAATCAGGGTTTTCTACAGAATCATAAGGATATTCATTACTTTTAATGGTAATTTTAATCTGGATTTTCTATACAGTATATACTCCATCTTTAATTAATTTCTGCCATACAGAACCATTGGGATATTCATTACTTTTAATGGTTGATTCTTTCATAGTAATACTGTAACCTGGAGCCTGAAAAACACATTGTTCCTGCAAAGATGTTTTGCAATAAGTAGAAGACAGCGGTATGCTTCAACCTTTCAAGAAAATATGTAAAGTGGAGCTGGAGAAATTGCAAAATAATTACACATAATAATATAACACATAAAAAATACTACATAACTTTGTAATCTGTAAAAATGTATTTTCATTTGGCAATCAACTATTAAAAAAATCTTTCAGAATACGAATAAAAGCCAATAACTTAAGAATAAAACTAGGCAATAATGTATGTCATTACTTTCGTAGATTTCAGTGACTGACCATGTCCAAAGTATTAAGGGAAGGTAAGTTAGTAAATACTCTGTAGTACAATAATATATTTACCTGTGGTGGTATATAACTGCCATTGTTAATCACTGTTGGTGTTAAAAAATGCTCATGTAAATGATCTACATATTCTACAACTCTGTAATTAAAAGAATTAAATCTACATGTTTTCCAAACAACAAATTAAAGTATAACATCTAAATCTACAAGTTTGCTGTGGATTTATTTTTTTCCAATCAGACAGTCTTAACTCAAGACCAAATACATTCTTCTCCAAAGTCAAAAGTCAACATAAATTCATTTTGATCTCACCTTTTCTCTAATGTGCCTGATACTGCTATATAATCAAATATAGAGAGATGTTGAATTAATTCACAGAGTCCTACCCCACCTCCATGTGGACATATTGGAACTGAAAATAAATACAGAACACTAGAATTTACCAAGCAATTGTCCAAAACACAACTACGAAAAATCCATATTAATGATGCCAACAAATTTCATCTAATCAAAATTTGTTGTGTACAGAGGCCAATCTTCATACCCAGATATAGAGATTACCTGAATCAGTTGAAGGAAAGTCTAAAATATAAACTTGATTCATTCAAACTAGACATTTTAAAACACAGAATTTCTATCTATGATGTCTAAATGAAGTCATGCACCCAATAATACATACCTCCAAATTTACAAGCCATTAATATAACAGCTAAATTTTCATTAACACCACCTAGTCTACAACTATCTATTTGACAGAACTGTAAGGCATCAGCTTGTAAAAACTGTTTAAATACAATACGATTTTGACATTGTTCACCAGTAGCTACTCCAATACCAAGTGGATTCAGCTCCTGAAAGTCAATGATTCCTTTTAAAACAAACACTTTGATAAAAGCTCATTTCATGGTGCTGACTCATGTTTCAGATATGAAATCCTCATCAAGACAACCGGTTTGGAAATGAAATATTATCAAGTAAACTTCCCTTTAAATACAAATATCTATGTAAGTACCTTAGCTATTTTAGCATGACCTAGTATATCATCAGGACTAGTTGGTTCTTCTATCCAAGTTAGATCAAACTGAGCCAGTTCTTTCATCCATTCTATAGCTTCCTGTACTTCCCATCTCTGATTGGCATCCACCAACTGAGTCACATAAAATATAGTCAAAGATACATATGCACTACACATCAAAATCCAAATACATACTAGTCCATTAGTTTTGAGGTAGCTTAAGGGGTATTAAGCACAATGATGGCATGACCTGTCAGTCGTCAAATATCAAGTATTCCACAAGACTGTACTTGATTTTTAGAAGCATACAATTTCTTTGTCACATACTTACTTAAATTAAAAAATCCCTTTTATACATGACATTGAGACATTGTCTCAAGTTCATGAATTAATCAAATCAATTTACAAATTAATACAGAAAAATGAAACAAATAAGGAAAAAAGAAAATATGAAAGCCTACCAATATTTTATCTTTTCCTACTTCTTCTCTAATAATACCTAATCTTCTTTTATCATCTTCTAGATCAGCCCCGACCTTCGCTTTAAATCTACAAACGCAAAATTAAGCTTTAAATCTACAAATAACAAGCTAAGCCGTAAATCTACAAACACAAATCTTAGCTTTAATTCTAAAAACACAAAACTAAGCTTTAAATCTACAAACACAAAACTAATCTTTATATCTACAAACACAAAACTAATCTTTATATCTACAAACACAAAACTAATCTTTATATCTACAAACACAAAACGTAGCTTTAATTCTACAAACACAAAACTAATCTTTATATCTACAAACACAAAACTAATCTTTATATCTACAAACACAAAACTAATCTTTATATCTACAAACACAAAACTAATCTTTATATCTACAAACACAAAACTAATCTTTATATCTACAAACACAAAACTAATCTTTATATCTACAAACACAAAACTTAGCTTTAATTCTACAAACACAAAACTAATCTTTATATCTACAAACACAAAACTAATCTTTATATCTACAAACACAAAACGTAGCTTTAATTCTACAAACACAAAACTAATCTTTATATCTACAAACACAAAACGTAGCTTTAATTCTACAAACACAAAACTAATCTTTATATCTACAAACACAAAACTAATCTTTATATCTACAAACACAAAACTAATCTTTATATCTACAAACACAAAACTAATCTTTATATCTACAAACACAAAACGTAGCTTTAATTCTACAAACATAAAACTAATCTTTATATCTACAAACACAAAACGTAGCTTTAATTCT